CCCCAAAACCCCAAAACCCCAAAACCCCCCTTAAGTATAAGAATTGAAAAAGCTTTATAAATAAATTAATAGAAAAAATGACATCTTACCCAGCAGAAACTTACAAATATGTATAGTCTAATTTAAACTCATAAATTTATTGTTTAGGTAAATGATTATCATACATTCCCCTACTATTACTGGGATCTATACTCTAACTATCCAAACTAGCATGTTCATCATTATTATGATGCCTATTATAATCATCTGGTAAGTTTACATAATTTAAAGATCACCATCTTCCCCTCATTTCTGATTAAATATTGAATAAATTTCAGATGTCTTAATATGTATTTCCTAGAAAAATGACTACGATAGACACATTTAATAAGAATCTGAAAATGAAATGAGGACAATTAATGAGCTAAAAGATAGAATCAAGATGCTAACTTAGAAGGCAAAGCTGAAAGAGATTGATATGCTTGGTGAGAAGGAGGATTTAGAGTAATTTAAAGAAGCTCTACTCATGAAGGAACAGGAATAAATTGAAGCTGATAAACAAGTATAACTTGAACTTAAGAGGATTTAGGATATTAGTAAAAGAATAGATGATAAATGTGAAAATTTACTATTACCTCCTCCTAAATATTACTTCCCTCCCTAACCTTGGTCATCAGTTAACGGTGTTTATGAGACGGGAATGCCAATGGTCTTTTGTAACAGTTGCTAATTACATCATCATCCCCATCATCATTGTACAGCGATGTCTGCATGCTGTAACAAATCTAAGGTTATTTAAGAAAATTTTGTCTATGTCTAGAATGCGGGAAATAGTTTCAGGAATCGAGATAGAAATATGAAATCTTCAAGAAGTGTTAGTGAATTAAACTTTTTCGAAAAAAACTCTTTGAAAAAATCTCTCAATGAAAAAAGAAAGTGGATTGACTATAATAATCTTAGCAAGTATTATTAGTGATGATTAGAAAAACTGAGGTATTAGGAAATGGATTTCTATAATGTTGTAATTTTATTCATCCTAGAATATAATAGTGCTATATTAAATCAATCTCAAGAAATTATATCTACTTTATGTAATATTAAAACTTTATTGAAATTTAATAAATTTCTAATTTCTATTAAAAAATGCTCTATGGGGTTTTGGGGTTTTGGGG